TGAAAGTCACTATTACAGATTTTCAGTTCTTTGTTCGCCTCGATTAAAAAAATATTAGGTATATAATTTTTGTAAAAAGTGATTGGAATTTATTCGTAATTCGGATAAACGAACATCTGAATAAATCTGAATAGATTTTAAATCCGAATTAATTTTGAAGCCCTAATAACTATAAAAATTTAAATAATATAAAGTTCTGTGTCATTATTTGAATGTTTTGAATTCGTCACGCATTTATTTCACTGCGAAACGCTACTGCGCACACTTTTCCTGCAGCCTGCGACTGAACGGCTGAAGCAGTGGAGAGTGGGGAAGTTGTGTATGTGGCACGTGCTCGGACTGTGCTGTATGCGAGGTACATACGTTCCAGAATTTTTTACAATTTGTACAATTTGTAAGTATATTTTCTTATAGATAAATAGATAGATAGATATATTTATTAGCGACTCCTCTCAGGATTGCACTCTTTTAAAATTTACAATTATATCACATAAAAAATCTTAATCTATTCTTAACTTAAGTCTTACATATTACTAATTCTTAGATGCTAATTTAACTCCTATGCTCTCTCTCTCTCTCTCTCTCTCTCTCTCTCTCTCTCTCTCTCTCTCTCTCCTTCCCTCCCTCCCTCCCTCCCTCTCTCCCTCCCTTCCTCACTCCCCCTCTCCCTTTCCCTCTCTCTCTCTCTCTGGGATTTCCGTTTCCCATTATCTTCATTTCTCTTTCTTCTTCCTTCCTTCGCTTTATATCAGACACTCTCCCTCTCCTTCTCATTCTCTCTTTTCCATTCCTCCATGCCTGGCCTCTTTTCACTCCTTTCTCATTTTTCCTCATTCCATCTCTTTCCTTTTCTTCCACTCCTTTTCTCTTTTTCTCTTTCTCCTCTTTTCCTTTTTTCTCCAATCCTCTCTGTTTCCTCTATTTCCTTTTCCTTCTTTCCCTTTTCCCTCCTTATCCATTCTTCTCTCTCACTCTTTTCCTCCAACACCTATCTTATCATCTTCTGCCAGTTCTCTGATCCCATCCCCCAGTCTCTACATCTCTCCCATATATGCTCCCAAATCTCTTCCTCCCCTCCACATAATTTACATACTCTCTCATTCTCTTCTTTCCAGTATAAGCCCTTATTTCATTTTCTAATCTATATCTTATTATTCTCCTTCACCTGCTTTCCCCCCATTTCTTCTTCAGATATTCCGGGATCCTTTTCCTAATGAACTCATACCAACTTGTATCTGGAATCTCTTATTCTCCATCTTCTTTTCTCCTGCTTTCTCTCTATCTTTCTTTAGCACAACTCCCCAAATCACATATCCCCTTCCTTCTTTCTCTCTACTTTTCTTACACTCTCACTCTCTGTTCTTAAAGAACTTCTTTCTTTCTTCTCTCTAGTCTGAACCTATTCTGCCTTTTCTGCTTCTTTCTCTCATTTTCTTCATCAACTCGCTTCCCTTTCCCTTCTCCAATTTTTTTCCAAAATTCCATGCTCTTTCCCCTACTCTTCTCGTAATTTATTCCTTTTAATTTCCTCCTTGATTAAATAACCTGGCGTCTTATTGTCCAATCCGTCGAAAATCCATCTTAAATATTTTTCTTCTAGTCTTTTTACTTCTTCTCTTTCTTTTCATCTCCATACTTCCATTCTGTAGCTTATCGTCCATATTGATTTATCAAATAACCAGATTCTTCTACTCCAGTCGTTTCCAAATCTCCTCTTCCCAATTCCGCATACCTCTCCTAATATCATGGCCGCCTTCCTTGTTCTCTCCTTAACTTGTGTCTCCTTAACTTGTGCGTTTTGTGTGTATCTATATCTAAGTATGTAATAATTTATCTCATCTATTTTCTTTCCTCTGTATCATTAATCCTTTTTGCTTGTTCTTCCTTTTTCTTTTCTAAACCTCATTATTTTAATTTGTCTTCGTTTCTTTTCCTTTCTAGATATTCCTCCATTCTATCTATCATGCTTCTCATCCCCTCCTCATCTTCCGAAAGTAACATCATATCATCCGCGTATGCTAGCGTATAAACTTTTCTCTCACTTAACCTGATTTCTCCCCACTTCACCCTTCCCATCTCCTCCAGATCCGCTATTACTGTGTTGAATAGCAACGGGCTCAGCGGACGCCCCTGTCTTACTTTCCTCTCATCATGCTCTTTGTTTTGCTTAACATTTTTTTGACCCTCTCTATCAATCCTTCCTTTTTTTTCTCATTGCTTTGTACAGAATTCCCCTGTTCACTGAGTCGAATGCCACTCTTCACGAACTGAATCACCACTTTCTTCCCTATTCTCAATTGTTTTTTTATTATATAATTTATAACGTAAATGTTATCTATTCCCATCTCCCTTCTAAATCCTATTTGGTTCTGCGGGATTCACCTTTTTTTCTTTACTCCTTAAAAACTCCGTTTTCGGCTAACACCATTAGATAGATCTTGTACAATGTTGTCATTAATGTTACTCCCTCATATTCCTCTATCTTCTTTCTTCATCTTTTTTCACGATCGGGATTATTACTCCTTTTTTTCATTCTTTCGATCATCCATTCCCTCTTTATATCCTTACAAAATTCTATTATCCAATCCAACAACTTCTCCTCCCCATATTTCCATATTTTCCCTGATATCTCATCTACTCCTATCGCTTTCCCATCTTTGATCTTTTTAATCACACACCTCAATATACCTTTAATCAATCACCTCCACAATTTCCTCCTTGCTTATCTCCCTCTCCTCCTCTTTCACTCTTCTTTTTCCCTCTCTTACTCTATGTTCCACTCCTTCTAGTACTCTTATAAAGTGCTTTTCCATTCCTCTTTCTCAATCCCATTTATTTCTTTTCTTTCTATTTCTTTCTATTTCTCTTCTTTCTTTTTTTTACAATTTTCGAGACATCCCTCTCTTTTAATTTGTTCTGTCTTTCTCAACCATTTCTCCGTTTCTTCCTTTTTCTTCTTTTCACATAATTTTCTGTATTCTTTTTTCCTTTTAATGAATTTCTCCTTCCTTCCCTTTATCCTTCTCCCTTTCCTTAATTCTTCTCTTACCTCCTTCTTCTTTTTTCTGCATTTCTCATCTCACCATTCTCCTTGTCTTTTTTCTCTCTTTTTTTGCTTCTCTTTCACTTTTTTTAATACTCTCTTAATATCACTCTTCATTGCGATAGAAAGTAAATAAAAGATTTATTCAGAATGAAGATGGCGTACAAATAAAAAGTTCCTATTTCTATATATGTATACGTATGTAAAATATATAAAATATATTAAAATTTTCAATATTTTTTAAAAAATTTTACGTAGGCGACTAATAATGATCTCCTATTTACAAGTGATCAGTACGTTATTGAATTTTACATTGGACGCGCATGCGTCTGAAACGCGACCCATCTAATAATATAGTTAAAACACCAAAAACTTACAAGTCAGTAATGTATGGGTCAGTAATGTATAAGTACCCTCTTCGAACATTTTCATATCGAGAATAACGCAAAAAAAATATCCTTGCAGGCTTATCATATCTATGGACAGTTAAAGTTTTTTTTAGCTTCTCAATCCGAGTCTTCAAATTATGTTATAAAAAAGATACAGCAATGTAAAAAAATCGCATAGGGTATATTGGATCCATGAGTAGTTTGCCAGAGTTAATAACTAATAATAAATTATAAATTCAATATATGTAATTCAAAAACTGTACGTTTTTTGACTGTACGTTTTAATTTTCAGACTGCTGGTTACATTTGTAATGCTGGTTATATTTTAACTACATTCTTTTGACTTATCAATTTTACGGCAATTTTTATACCTTTGTTTATTATATTTTTCATGTGAATAAATTAATGTTATTTATTTTCATCAGTTCTCGCATTTTCCTCGCGTATTTTTCGCGTTCTCTTTCAATGTAAGAACCGATTATGACTAACACAAACGTCCTTGATTGAAACACCCATGTATTTTAACAAAATAAACTGTGATTACTTAATTATATATAATATTGCACACTTATTATATATTCGCGTCCGACTCTCTTGGTTTTATTATATATAATAATATAAAATTCTAATTCTTATTTTCCAGATGCATGTGCCCATCAGTATAAAGGTAATCTTTTGAAATCAATTATTATATTTATTCAGTAAATAAATGAATTATTTTATATCTTTGTAATTAACCTGTGAATCGCAATGGAACTTTGCATAAATTATTTTGGACTTATAAGAGAAAAATGTAAATCTTTTAATCATTAAAAAAATTTTAATTTTTAACAATAAAAATAATAACAAATAAAATAAATAAACTACAACAACATGTTATTAAATATAATCTTATTGTAACTTCCATATGTATTGGGTTGTCCGAAAAGTTCGTGCCGATTTTGAAGGAAAATTGAAACGCAGAAGATTTAAATTTTAGTATACATTTATTAAATTATATATTATACTTACGGAACTTTAGGCTGAAAATACATTCCATCAATAATCAATTTGCAATCATTTAAAAAAATTTTAGATATACTTAATATAAATGTATTATATACTTAATACACATTCTAATAAATACAATATAATAAATGCGTATTTAATGTAATTTAATATTACAACATTACGCATGCTTTTCTTTTGTTTATTCTAATACTCCCAATCTTTATATCTACATTTATTATATGTTATAATATATTAGTATAACTATTATATATTATAATATAATGTTATACTAACAAAGTTGAGTGTAAATAAATTGTACGCTATGCACATATAAATATTTGGTATGTATTATCAAGATTAATACAGAAATATGAAGTGAAAAAAATTTACTAAATTTATTACATTAGATGAACCTCAACACTGGTTGTTAAAATTTTATCCTTCTTACGTTAAATTCGATAAACTGTTTTTTGTAGAACATTTCCCGCTCTGTTCAAATTTGTTCATCTTTATAAAAAGAACGGAATTTTTGACTAACTTAAAACTAACTTTAAAAATTTCTTTATTTATCTGTTCTGTAAAATCAAATTATTAATAAATTAAGATATTAAATTGTAAATGGTAATTCTCCGTTAATAGCAGCTGCTACTTTTTTATTTTTCAAGATTGTCACATGATCACCTTCAATGTAATGTACTTTTACCACATTTTGAGTTACCTTAAATAATTACACACTTTATTAACAAAAAAATTTGTATATAAGTAAATAAAATAAAAAAAATTATTTAAATTTTATTTATCAAAGAACGTAGATTTTTTAAATACCTTATGCAAACAAAAATCTTCTTCGATCGCAATCATATTTGATGAGTGCGTACATTTTAGCAATATTATGGGAGACTTAATAGGTGGTAATGTATAAGGATCATATTGCCGAAGAAGGGATAAATGTTTGTAAATCGTTGTACACAGCGTCTTTAAATTTGCAAATGAGAGATATGGATATATAGTTGAGAATTGTTTAGCGAAAATATTGAATCTTTCATTCCAGCTCTCACATTTCTTCAATTCCATTAAAATCTACAAAAATATAAAAATTTTTATTCTTATATACAAGATCGAGACAGAACGAAGGAATTAATTCTGATCCACATAAAGAAACTGAAAAATAATATAAATATGCCGTAAATTAGTTTCAATACGAGTTAAAATAAAAATTATATACTTTTTGAGAACTTCCTGCTGAATAGATTTCTAGAATATTAATTAATATATCAATCTGAAAATTTGCATCATCAAAATCTAATTCAAAAGGTTTGAACATTGTTCGTGCTAGCTCAGGAGCCCCGTCGATGAGAATAAGTCGGCCTTTAAAATTCATAGCTTCTAATATCCTTGTTACTTCAATTGCAATAAGAGATCCGAAGGAGTACCCTACCATTACAAAATTTGTTCCTTCTGTTAGTTTTGGAAGTATGCACTGTAAAAATATCAAATGTATTCGATGAAATTTATATTCTTTAAATGAAAACAATTTTTCATCAACATAAAATAAAATTACTAATACGATGCATACGTTTGTCAGACGATTAGTAGTCTCCGTTATCACATTTGTAGAATCAATGTTGTTTCCGTTATAATGCAACAACGATGTTGAAAACTTAATATATGGTATTATAGTTTTAAATACAGGACTACATCCGTCAATTCCCGGTATAAGAAATACTTCAGTCGTAGTGTTCTGTCTGTTAGTCGAAAAATCTGTTGAGAAAACAAAATCTTCATCTTTTAATGTAATACCAACTAAAATTTTTATAACGTCTGATTTTTCTAGGTTGATTTTCTTCTCATCATTCGCATCATCCTCACTGAGGCTTGCAACGGACATCTTAATAAGTTTTGCAAAAGTGAGATTTCGTGTATCTTGAGCTGTGATAAATATATCAAATTCTCGTTCCAGAGTTTGTTTGATTTCTACGGCCATCATAGAATCCATTCCGAGTTCGGCCAGAGATGAATTTGGACTTACAACTTTTATGTCACTTATATCTACAATATAAAATTATTATGATCTATAATGCCTTTTATAAAGTAAGTAGTATAATGTCTTTTGTGAATTAAATTAGCAAACAAATATGATAAGTATTTACAAAAGAAAAAAAGTCTCCATAAGAGCACCTACTTAAAATATTAGCAACTGTTTCTACCAGACTTCCGTGACATCCCACTTTTTTTTCAGCTACGACCATGCTGCTCACAATGGGCCGACTTTGAAGTAAAAATTTATCGAGCTCGTTGAGACAGCAAGATATTTTTTGCTGTAGAGTGCCTCCGATAATTAATTCCTTATCATCCTCCATCATGTCAGCGACGAGCCCCACGTCACCCACAGCTCCCCATTGAATCGCCAATCCCGGCAATCCTTTCTCCGCTCTTTTCTCACAAATTCTTTCCATAATAGAGTTGGCCATGCCATAATTTGTCTGACCAGCGTTTCCTCTGCCGCAAGAAACGGAAGAGAATACCACAAAATGCCGCAGATTAAGACAGATTTCCCTAGAAAGCTTGTCTAACATTTGCGTTGCACGAGCCTTCGATTGGAAGGATTCTGCAAATGCTTCTGCAGTTTGGTTTTTGAAGATGCCATCCCTCAGTACCACACCGAGATTGAATATAGCGTCCACTGGAGCTTCTTTTTCCGCAGTCCGTAAAAGATATTCGCAATCTTTGAGGTCAGCAACATCGATATTCTTAATGATCAGAACGTTTACGCCATATGATTTCCATAGTCGAACTTTCATGCGTTGATAACCGTTTTTTATTCCATTTCTTGAAATCAGAACGATGTTTCTGGCACCACGAAATATAAGCCAGTCTGTTAATTCTAAACCAAATCCGCCCAGGCCTCCTAATATAATGTAACTCCTATCTTTGAGACAATAATAGCGACGATACGCGAGAATGTGCTTATCTAAAGGTTCATCTTTTTCATGAATATTTATAATAATCTAAAAAATAATCGTATTAAAAGAATTCATGTTATATGTGAATAGAATATAGAGTGCTATTATTTACGAATAAATTTTTCTATTATTATAATATTTATCAGCATACCTTTCCCATATGTTTTCCGCTCGCCATATATCTAAAAGCTTCTTCAACATTTGTTTTTGGAAAAATTTTTGCTTGGATTGGTTTAATTGTTCCATCACTTAGACCATTTTTGATCAATGTGAATAATAAACGTTTCCACTTGGAATCCCTACTTTTTATCATCATATTTTCAACTTTAATCCCTTGAAAACTGATACCTTTTTGAAATACAGACATATCTAGGGGATTATTAGAAACAAGGTCGAATTTGCCAATCTCTAAGAATCGACCATTGTGAGCTAAACACCGAACGGAGGCGATTAATTTTTCTTCCGCCAATGAATTTAATACAATGTCGACTCCACGACCTTTCGTCTGCTGCATTATCATTTGTTCAAAACTAGTATCTCGAGAATTTCCAATATGTTCATCCAAAATAGTCGGAAATATTTTTCTAATAAAATTCCGTTTATCACTCGTGCCCACTGTAGTAAATACCTGACATCCCTCTTTAAGAGCAAGATGTATAGCTGCTTGTCCAATGCCTCCAGTACCAGAATGTATAAGTATTTTATCACCTTCTTTTATTTTCCCATAAATGTATAAGGCTAAATAAACCGTGCTGTAAACGCACGGGATCGTTATTGCCTCTTCAAATGTCCACGCATCGGGTATATACCAACAAAGATCTTCATCTATCTCAACGACATTTGCTATGCAACTAGTAAAAGTAATTTTGGTAAATGTTCAGTATAGAGGAGCACTTTCTGATGACCTCGACCTTGACATATGTGATCAAGGTCATGACTCCGAGTGATCTTCAAAAGGTTTTAATCCGCGGTCATCTTTCGTTAAAAAGTTATTATATAACACAAAAATTTCAAAAATAATTATTTCTGCTATACATACAATATTAAATACTATTCTACATAGGTTTTGACTTGCCACGCGAAGCAACTTTCCCCCTCCCTCCTCCCCTACTTAACCCGGGAATAGGCGCGTCTTGAAACTAATGTTAGTAGGCGCATCTTGATCATTTTGACCGAAATATATTTTCGCACATACATATGTTATAACTAGAACACATATATGATTATAATTACTATAAGTAATCATTAATAAGAAAACGTTTTGATAATGCTTTATATTAATCAATTAAAAACAAAGAAACGTAATAATTATTGGAAATAATTGTACTTATATGATATATCTTTATTTTAATTTTACAATACTTTTTTTTATTTGTTAAAATTATCGATATATAATGAAATTATATACATATATATACACATATATATATATATATATATACATATATATGCATATATATAAGAAAATTATAATAATTTTATTGTTTATTTATAAAAATATAATAATAGTGGAGACTGATGAAGATAACAAACACTAGTATAAGTACGCGCGCTACGGTCTTTTAGACCGTTACAAACATATCAAATTTTATGTAGATATAAGTATGTTTATGTTATCTATTTTCGCATACTATACGAAAAAATATTTATGTAAAAATAAAAATATAACAGTACCAATAAATTGAAAGATATAAATAGACAACGGAAGAGTACGGCAAAATGACCGGTAGGTGATCACTTCCGAGTTAAGGGGTGTATAATTTCTATAATTATACTGTTGCATGTTTCAACGTTGTCCTGTTTAGAATCATCCAACTTTTGGTACAATAATTATCAACTTTGATTATTAATAATTTTTTAACAAAGAACGAATGCAGGCTAAAACTTTTGAAGGTCACTCGAAGTCATGACCACTTTCACCACTATGTCAAAGTCAAGTCAGAAAGTGCTCTCCTATACGGAACATTTATCGTTTTTAATTACTAAACTTTTTAATTACTAAAAACTTTTTACTGTCTATTCTATGATCACAGCATAATAATTTATTGTATCATTACATACTTAGTATCACGAATTCCCATTATACGTTGTCCGTTAGCATTGAATCCCGCGTATTCCATTCCAAGAGGAAGATATTGAAATAATCGTCCTTCTAAAATCATCTCATGATGAAATGTTAATTTACCAGTGGCAAACATTATATCTTTAAAATTCAGAGATGAGTAAACAATATGCACCAAGTTCTCACGACAACACATGTTTAATAGATTATTTTCTATCCAACAAAGTGTACTTAAATCACCACGAACCTATGAAAAAATGAAATTTCTTTTATGACATGACATATACAAAACAGAATTTTAAAAAGAAGCTTCATAAGAGCATTCAATTCTCTGTCCGACAAATAAAATTATATTAAGAGACAATGATAGATAATGTTATAAGAACGACCAATATGTGCTGAAAAAATTTATGTTTACCATTTGACAGATATGAGCGGTAGGTACAAGTTTAGCTTCGGGTTGTGATAATTTCAAATGTCTGTACGATCCCCAAGTTTTATTAGATCGCAGTACATTAATGGTCATATCTTTCTGTAATTGCTCTAGATAGAAGGGATTTTCAAGAGAGAATTTAGGTGCTTCCTCATCTTGAAGGAGCACACCTCTAACAAGTTCTCCACCTGGCTCTTTTCTCAAACAGTTAACAAAACCTAATAAACCACATTCAAAGTCTCCCTCTCCTACAATTATAATTCTGCTATTCTTGTCGAATTTCTTATCGCTTACAAGCGACTTTAAATTTTCCAACCAATTAAAATTATCATTACTTATGTAAACAACAGTCCTTTCTTTTATTAAAACTTTTTTCTTCAATAAAACAATTATTTCTTTTTCAGTGCGTTTTTCGAGAATGACATTTAACTCATATTGTTGCAAACGTTTTTTATAATCAATTATGTCGCATTTCTCACGAGTCAGCAGATAACCTCCCTCTCCCAAAAATGGCAACAGTCGCTCTAACGATGCATGTTGTTTGGTCAAAAGATTGAATCCAGTAACAATTAAAGCTTTGTCATCTATAGACGATTGTTCAATATCTTTGATTGAACAATTTTGCGGTAAATCTTCTGGTCTGAAACGATTTGATGATGTTAATAGAGTGATATTTACTTGTATTAGTGGCATGTCACCAAATGCCTCAAGTAGCAGTGATGATGAAAGATATTCTAATTCAACATCATCGACATCTTCCACTAACTCAACAGCTCGCACTTTGATAATTTGATGATCTTCCAATACAAGTTGAGCTGATAATCGAATTGCTTTGTTTAAAGAAATCTTAGCGTGATCACAATGAGCTATAAATGTATGTTCCTCAATAACAGCATCTTGTTCTAATTTTCGGCGAGAGATCTGAGTAGCTTTCATGCCTCGAATCTCTACTCCACCAGCTTTTATCGTATTTATCTCTTTGTATATTCGTGCCTGTAAAACTGCAATAAAATAAGTAATATAATACGCTTCATATATTATGTAGATCTTATACACAATATTTACGAATTAAACTTTTAGTAATGGAAGTAATGGAATTACGTTTGTCAATATCTGTTGTGTGAACATCTTCGTCATCCGCGTTGTTCTGTAGCTTACATGCGTGAAGCATTGGATTGATCACTAATTTTTGAATACTTGTAGGAACATACAGATCTCTAGTATCGTATCCGATAATTAACATCTGTAACATAGTATCCATGAATGTTACCCAATTATTTTTCCAAATGATTTGTCCTTGGCTTCCTGAAATAGAGGCACTCTTTAATCCACGAAACCAGCCGCTGTACTGATATCCACGCAATTTCAACTCTTTATAGATATCTCGTGCAGTCATGTATTCTTCTTCATCATTATTCTCCGGTAATAAATCTATTGGAATCATTTCCTGTTCTGGATTCTCTGTCTCGTACACTGTACCTGTGACAAGAACGCTATCTCCATCAGTTATTTCAAACTGTCCATCTGTAACATTTTCATATATTTGGCTATACTGCGATTTGTTATCATAATGCATTAATTGTAATCGGTATTCGCTATTTCATTGGAAACATCTAGACATTATTTTTAAACTATATTGTTGTAAATATTGTACAATAATAAATGTTTATACATTAATTTAAGGATTTAGATTAAACCTATCGAATATCATTAAGAAATTTCTTAGGAAATACCGATTATCTATATAAAATTAAAACCGCTCATTGAGTAAATACTTTTCTGTATTGCAATAAATAGTTCTGTAGCATCATTTTTCGACAAATGAGCAGCTCGAATAAATTTTACATCTCGAAAGACTATTGGTATTGTTGTGTACATTGATCCTTTCATCATGCCAATCATTTGCCAAACGAATCCTAAATAACCTGTCGCGGGTAATAAATTTCTTCCATCGATCACATGACCGCTCATATATTCATAATCTTCATCATCAAGTATAATGTTGATGTACCTTCCTCTTGATTTAATGTACTTCTGTTCTGCGCTTGATGTAAGCCAATTTTCAGAATGACACCATCTGAATTATTACAATTCTTATTTATATGTGAATAATTATTCATACTCATAATTATTCATATGCATATAATAATACATTATTTATTATACGTATGAGATAAATAAGTATTATTTTAGGTTGTATATTTTAGGTTGTATATTGTATATATCTAATAATTTTGCGATTAGAATTAATAATATACAAGATTATTTTGAATAAATGTTTATCTTTAAAGTGTCATATTCTAAGACGATTTTTCCTTTGTCAAAATTTTATCCGAAGTTTAGTTTTTAAATTTTAATAAGAAATAGTTAGTTAATGACGAGACACTTAGAGAAGGTAACTAGAGGTGATGAAACTCACTGTCCGATGTAGACGATACGGGGGACCCTTGAAGTATTGATTCAATCTGTGTGCATTCTGTGTCAGTGGAAAAAATGTGTGATATCTATAAAAATAAATTTCTAAACCCGGATCCTCATATGCCTTATTGAAAATTTTTGTAAGTTTTTTGTACCAGATCTTAAAAGAGTTGTATGTGATCAATTAAGATTACTAAATAAATACATAATTATATAAGAATCTTATATAATTTGTATATGAATCTCACAGTAATCTTGACCTTAGGAATCTGGAATGAATCGCATACAACACGATTTATATCAATGAAAGGATTTTGCCTGACCTTATAAGAAACTTTTAAAAAATAATTTCTTTATAGGATCATCTAAGAATATAATATTAATTAAGAAAAGAATATAATATATTAAGAATATAATATTAATTAAGAATATAATATTAATTATGTATGATTCCTAAATATTATTGTACATGAAAGATCACGTATCAGTCTTAAAAAACATATAGTTACGAAATAATTTATCTTTCAAGTTAGTACAGGAATTTGACGATAGGAATCACAATGGTTTATATTGCAATAAAAAGATTTTAATTGTTTAGCCCAATGAGATACTCTTAAGAAATAATTTCTTTATAAAGATTACGTTTCGCGAGTTTCCTGCGTCCAGATCCATTCTTGGAATGTCAACGTTTCGTGAATCTTGTAATCCATTTCATCAAGACGAGGAGCAGCCTGATACTGAGCTATTCCTTCGGGTTCCTCGTTCTTTTTTTATATTACACTACTTGTTGGAATGATGGAGGGAAAGAAGAGAATTGTAGATGGGGAGAGGGGGGGAGAGGTGGAGGAAATCGGTCAGTCTTCAATAACCGGGAGAACGGTTTTCCATATTTTATTTATGTTGCCATTATCTCTATTTAGATTGTTAGGATGTTTTGTCTCTATGGCTTCTCTATTTGGAAAGTATGATGTAATGTTGGCTATTGTGGTCAAACAGTATTTGATGTCCTGTTTCGATGTTGTGTTCTGATAATGCTGATTGCGTGTTTTAACCTGATATCACATTGGTGTTTTTTTATCCGTAGGTTGATTAAATAATTTCTTTACATGATCTTCAAAAAAAATAATAAAGATATCAATCTCAATAAATGAAATAGAATTATTGAATGAACAGAAACTGAATATGAGATCTGTCCCAAAAGTATCCGACTTCTGCGTATATCTTTGTCCTTGGGCATTCTATTGTGGAAAATAGGTATTCAGTATTTAGGGTATTAGGGGACCTTAAGAGTATTCTCACTAAATGGTACGACCCAATAGCTGTTCAGTCGGCAATGGTTCGCAGTTATGTGAGCGTCGAAAATTCTGAGCGTCGCATTTCACAATGACTGAACGAACAGAAAATTTGTATTAAATTTTGTCAAAAACTTGGCCACACATGTTCCAAAATAATTGGCATGATTCGTCAAGTTTATGATAATGATTCTATAAATGACGCACAAATAAAAGAAAGGTTTAGACAGTTCAAAGATGGCCGTGTCTCAATGAATAGTGATCCTTGTTTCGACAGATCTTCAACATCGAAAATAGTAGAAAACGTGGAACATGTGCTGAACGTGTGATTCGCAATCAACAAAAATTGTCGTTTAACTGCGAGAGTTAGAAGAAGATCTTGGGATCTCAAAAACTATTGTTTCTCAAATATTGAATGAAGATTTGAAAATGAACTGCGTGATTGAAAATTCCACGAGTGCTTATGGAAGATCAAAAGAATTCTCGAGTTGAAATTGCCTAAGATATTTTGGAATCCATCAATAAAGATTCTGAGTTGCTTGTTAAATAACTAATGATAAAACTAATGATAAAACATTTATGGCAACAATCCTGAAACAAAAATACAATCTTCACAATGGGCGACGAGAGAAGAGCCTTAACCCAAGAAAGCGCGGCTAAGTTGGAGCAACGTGAAAGCAATGTTCAAAAATTCAAATTGTTTTCTTCGACCAAGAAGGTGTTGTATATTACGAATATGCTTCACAAAGTTGCACAATAAACAAGAAGTATTATTTGGAAATTCTTAAACTGCGTGACGCAGTGAGGAGAAAACAGTTGGAAAAGTGGGAACTGGTTGTTGCACTATAATAACGCACTTACTCATTCATTTCACCTGATTCAGAAGTTTTTATTGACTAACACGACATTGTCCAACTTTGTCAGTCTTTGTACAGTTCAGATATAGCCTGTGTGACTTTTAATTATTTCCTAAGTTGAAACATCCGTTAAAGGACAAAAGATTTGACGATGTTGAGGAAATAAAGCGAAATGCGACGAAGGAACTATTGGCTATTACAAAAAATAATTTTCAGGGCTGTTTTTGCAAATGGGTGCACCGTTGGCAGAAGATCGTTGCTTCGGAAGAAAACTACTTTGTTAATATCATTTCAAAACTCTTTCTCGTGATAATACAGGCAGAGGTCGGATACTTTTGGAACAGACCTCGTATGAAAAGAAGTAATAAAAATTAAAAAATTTGTTAGGATGCTGAACATGAATAAAAGATCGAAACGTATTATCGCTTAATAAATTGATAAATTATAATTTCGCTATAATAACTAGCTTTTTAGACTTCTTTTCTAAATTAAGTTTGATTTAAGGAGGTTGTGCAATATGTTAAAAATTATTTGAAAAAATTACAGATTATTCTAAATTGCATTTAAAAGTAATACAAAAGATTAAAGACAGTGACCATCTAAACCAAAAGTTATTTCAATAAAAATTATAATGTTTTTTAAATTTGTACTCTAATAAAAATATATGAAAATATATTATAAAATAATGATAAAAAAACTCATTTTTTTTAATATAATTTTTTTTTAAGTATTTTATAAATTCAAAATATTTATCTAAAGTTACATTAAGATGCAGATATTAATTGTTCAGTAAATAAATAAAATATTGTTATAAACTAATAGGTGAAGAGGTTTCAATGAAACTTTGCATAAGTTATTTTTTATATTTAAAATATTTATATAAACAAATTTAGATTTTTGTTATTATTAAAAAAATTTTTGTTTATTACAATAAAACTAATATCAAATAAAATAAGTAATTTACAAAAATATGTTGCTCAATAAAAACAGAATGTTATGAACACAATATATATGTAGTTTGTTTAAAACATAAATATTATGTATATGTTTTATGCCCTTATAACCTCTTTAATCAAAAAACTGTTATTTGTGTAAAAAGAATTAATTTTTAGCCAAAATGAATTTTTTTAAATCCCATTCAGCGTTCCATGATTGTCCCATTCCATTTTATTTACTGGAATACGAGCAATAAATCATAAAATTCCAATAGTATTCTTGTAATATTTTCATAATAACACTCCAATTATGTTTTTGCAAAATTTATAATACATTATGCGAAATTCGCGTAATCTGCGTATAAGATAACTGTAACCGTATATGCGTGCAAGAGTCAAGTAACATGCTTATAAGATTCATGTAACCATGGGTGTAAGATTCATGCAAAATTCTTGGTTTACTTACAGATACATATCGTATGCGATATATTCTTATACAATCTTGTATGTTCCTGTCCGAAATTCGTATGTAAAAATTTTCTTGGAAGATCTCACAAGAATTTTTTCATGTAAAAATTTGCAGTAGGGCAGACAACAGCGCTTTGACACTGAATGCTGATTGGTGAAAAATGGGTGATGGAGGTAAATTTTATCCCCACAATCGATTTTTCACCAATCAGTACTCTATGTCAAAACGCTGTTGTTTGTATGAGGATCCGAGCTAAATGAGGAAAGTTTAATAAACATTTGTTTGGAACTGTGCAGTCATAAACAGAAAGGTAGTGACGTTTTTTTTTTGATAATTTTTGGAATATACAAAAATTTTCAGAGGGCGATTCACTATTTATCGATGTGTGAGCGGTTATGACAGCTGTCGAAGTTATACAAAAGTATATGTGAAATCAAGAAACATATTTTGTGGACCCCAAAAAAATATCAATATCGCAAGATTAGGATAAATTTAAAAGAGTAAACCAATTAGATAAATTTATTTATATCTTTTACGCGAACATTAAAATAACATTAAAAATTAATATAAAGATAAGAGTAAAATAATAATACAAAATAATAACACATAATAAAATTATATGTATATCATATAACTTTTTATGCAAAATGTAACTATTTGGCATTCTGAATATATAATAACATTTTCATTTTTAGGACTTTTTTGCGGATAACGCCGAATATAGAGATGGCCAACTCAGCTGAGTTCCATCCTGATTTGCAACTTTGTCATAAATTTTCTTGTTTCAAAATATCTTAATGATATTTTAATATTTTAAATTAATTAAAAAATATTATTGATTAATATAAAGTATAAAATCAGAAAAATTATAATCATTGTTATGCCTAAACTCCATAATTCTTTTCTTCGATGAAAATTTTCCTCATCATAAAAGTTCTTAATAAGTATTACCTGTAAATTATCTGTTTCTACTATAGGAAGTTGCAATAGTGACGAGACAAATAACATTTGCCTTTATAAATTAATCCTCTCAGGATGAAGTTGTTGAATTAAATATTCGAACCAAGTATTGAATAGAAGAATTTTATCCCGAGGAACAAAATAAGTAAATAGATTAGGGATATACAAACTGAAGTAGTTGTCTAATAAATGTGGCTCTAAACTATTGAACATCCGGCAAATGATCGATGATAGAAATGACTAATAATGTTTTAGATACTTATCCCAATATCCAATTCACAACCGGTAATCCTAAATTAGATTAACATACGCAAGGCTTGCATACATAGCATTATTAACTCGAATATAAAAGGAGGCTCTTCACGAACGCAGAAGTTGACGCAGAGTTCAGTTACGAAAGGTCATTCTGCCGGTTTTTGACTAATCAGTCAAAAACTCAACGAAATTCTACCGATCCGCTATCAGTTTCAGTCAAAGTTACCTAGCCAGCCGATATTCTGCCGGTCCGCGATCAAATCTCTCAACCGATTTTTGTTGTGATCCGCGATCAGATCTCGCAATCGTGATACGGTCGAGTCACTCGATCGAAATCCAGTGAATAAAAATCGTTTGACTGTTTGATCAAGCGATTTTTTAATTCAATCATCTACGAAATATCCAGTCATCTACAATCCGAGATCATCTCCAAAAAAGTCAAAACTCACTGAATAGCAGTAAGTCCTCCTTAAAAAAAATATATTAATGTTTTATATATATAATCATCGAACTCTAACGCAATCATAGTGCTGCACTTAACAATCAAATAGCCCATACAAAAGTTGACTTAGAAGTCAGACTATCTCAAAGCACGGAGATTCCTGGACCAAGCGTATCAGAAGTATCTTGAAACTTCTCGTCTTCAGACACATGCACACACACACACGCACGCACGCACGCGCGCGCACACACACACACACACACACACACACACACACGGCAGATGACGCTCACTCTAGGTTAATTCTAACAAGATACTTGTTCTTTATAATTAATTAATAATTTTGCGATTAATAATTTAAACAACCAACCGCGTTTCATAATGTACACTCTTTGATAAATAGTTTATAGTAATTAGTTAATAGAAATAAATACTACAATAAGATAAATTAAAAATACAAGAATACTAGATTATAATATGTTATAATATAATATGTTATAATATTGATAAAATAATTATGATAAAATGAAAATAATTACAAATTAGTACACGCATCGATGGTGGATCGCTCTAAAAATTTTTGCGTATTCCATCGAATATGCAAAATCGTCCAAAAAAGTGTCGCTACCTTTTTGCCTATGATTGTCCGTGATTCATTCGAATGGAAGTTTTTCTTTTTTCTTAAGTTGTAAATGAAGCCATCGAATGTTTACAAGATAATTTTGTGTGTGTGTGTGTGTGTGTGTGTGTGTGTGTGTGTGTGTGTGTGAGAAAATGTGATCGCATATGCATGCATATGTATAAGAAATAAGTGACAATACGAGAAAAATATCAGGGCGCTCCGAGATTCGAATAGACGCCTGATCTCCTCCGAAATGGTAAACTTACTGCCACTGAATCAGCTTTGACTCGTGATTTCTTTGTTGTGCCTATTTCTCAGTAATTTTCTCAGTAAATTTCTTACACATGTGTGTAGTGAGAGTCCTTCGTACCATCTGTGTCGGACAGTGGGTTACCCTGTCCCTATCTACCTTCTCTACGCATCTCATCATTTGCTAATTATTTCTGATTATTTGAAAATAAAGAGATAGTTTCCTTAAAAATACAACTTTAATTAAAATAGAGGTAGCAAATCTTATGAGAATTAAAATATTAAAATTTGAAATTTTATTTTGAAAATTAGAATTTCCCGTCAAAACAAAAATTTTTGTTAAATTTTGTTAAAAAATTTTTATTAAACAAAAATTCAGAATTATATGTCTGAATAATATCTGCCACCTAAAATTTCAAATCAATCCATTAAACATTCGCAAAGAAAAAATTATTTACTAAAAAATATCATTTCGAAGGTTATGGACAACAGGAAGGGTATCGGGCATTCAAAATTTGAAAAAAACTAAGTTTCTTTTAGTGATAAAAAAGTGCGCCAAGCTTCAGTCAAATCCGAAGAGGATTTCGAATCTCCTTGTTAGGTTCAAGTCTTTGTATATTTACAATTTTTATCGTATATAGACATCTAAATTACGATTACGATTTACTTGATTGACTTACCTGATTGATGGAGAAATCATAGGAGTTCCTCGGCTAACTGGAAATTCGACTGGTGGGTATAAATTGGCAACTTGTAGCTGTAAACCGCAATTGTAGATCTTCCCAATTCCTTGTAAAGTTATATCAATATTTTTATTGGTCTGTTGAGTCAATACAATATTTGTTACATTTGGATGTAAGGAGCCTGTCAAAGCATGCTGCAAAACATTGTCTGGTGCGATTTCAATAACCACAGCGTTGCTTGGAATTAAATCCATAGTTTGTTGAAATAGAACAATGTTTAATAAACTTTGAGTGTGATAGTCTGCCGATGATAACTTTGTTGTGGAAGTGGACCATTTGGTACGAGGTATAGAAGTACTGATCCATTTTGAACTCCGTTTTTTTGGCTGTGGTATTATTTTATTCAAATTAAGCAGCAGTTGAGGTTTTGCTGGTGCGAGATAAGAACTGTGATATGGTACATTGCAGTAGATCTCCTTCACGTAAACATTATTGACCTGATCATTTAAAAATGCACATTTAACAGATAGAAGGACTCTTCATATATAAAATAAATAGCAATAAACAGCAAATAAAGGACAAAGTAAGAGTTTGTCCTACAAAATAAAGATAAACACATTTTAAATTTTAATACAATTAAATAGAATAAATTACAAATAAAGAAAAATAAAAATAAAGAAAACAGTTTAAATTCAAATATAAAATATTATAAGTTTTGGCTATCTCTTCAGATATTTATTTATCATAAAGATAGCTGTATAAAGTTACTTATTGAAAATGCTCGCATATTCTTTATAATAACAGCTCGAATCTTGATGTAAAACTCGATATTATTCGTATATGATTGGATAGTCAAATGTGTTTCATATCTCTTACAAAAAAATCTAATCGATAAAAAAAGATAAAAAAATCTTCTTACGAAATACTAAACCAAATCAAAGTAATATACCGGAATTCTAACAAGTAAAAATTCACCAAAAGTCATATATAAATTATTCAAACAAGTACATTCATATAAGTATAAAAATCAATTAAAATATATACAGTTTAATGGAACGCAGTTATGTAAGACGGAGACATAGTCAATTATAATGTATGCTCGAATCAACACGGACTGTCAATATCGAAAAATCAAATTTTATTTATAATATTAGGTGTACAACTTTGCTTCCGCCGTTTTCCTATAGATGGCTTTAGCGGTAAGTGGTGGTCGAAATAAATAGATCATAGACGTCATACAATAAACTTGGGCATCTGTCAACATAACCCCATAGAAACATTAGTCGATTTGTGTCTGCATCATAAAGTTATTCTCGATTGAAAATGTCAGTTTACGAGCCAAATTCTCGTCATTTGCGGGAGGTTTTAATTTTTTGCTTCAATATGAAAAAATCTGCGGCTGAGGCTCATCGAATACTTATGGTGAGGCCGCTATTAGTGAAAGAACGTGTCGTGAGTGGTTTCAACGCTTCAAGAACGGTGATTTTGACGTCCAAGGTCATGCTCTGTATTTGATGGGACCAGCTCGGCCAGTGTATGAACTGTTAAAACCGACTGAAACAATCACAGGCGATCGGTATCGAACGCAATTGATGCGTTTGAGCCGAGCATTGAAAGACAAACGGCCGCAATACAATGAGAGACACGATAAAGTGATTTTGCAGCATGACAATGCTCGACCCCATGTTACGAAAGTGATCAAGACATACTTGGAAACGTTGAAATGGGAAGTCCTACCCCACCCGCCGTATTCTCCAGACGTTGCTCCCTCTGACTATCACTTGTTTCGATCAATGGTACACGGCCTGGCTGACCAGCACTTTCGGTCTTATGAAGAAGTAAAAAATTGGATCGATTCGTGGATAGCCTCAAAAGATGACCAGTTTTTTCGACGCGGGATTCGTACGCTACCCGAAAGATGGGAGAAAGTAGTGGCCAGCGATAGACAATACTTTCAATCATAAATGTATAACCAGTTTTTTACAATAAAGCCTCGAATTTCGGAAAAAAAACGGCGGAAGCAAAGTTGTACACCTAATAGGTTTATATGCTTTATGGAGACCTTCAAAATGTTATGTCTAATATGATTATGATGTTCTGTAATTCTTTTCAATTGTCTGCCACCCAACATACGACGCATCACAATTATTACACACAATCTTATAAACTACATTGTTCTTAGATGTATGAGGATAAATATCCTTTTGTACTTTTATATATTTACCCATTTTATTAGGACTATGAAAAGATACTATGATGTAGTTTTTTTATTGAACCGTTTAAATTTCTTTATGTAAAAAGGAATGAATGGTACCGTAAGCCAAGATGCAGATTCATTCGCACAGACATTGTCAATCAAATCTTTATATACTATGTTTATTTTTAAATAAATTTTTTTATAAATTTTTTTATTAATTATTTTTTGATTAACTGTGTCAAAAATAAAAGTTAATAGGTAATCATTATCTAATAAAATGTTAATAATAAGTGTCAAATTTTTCGTGTGAAATATAAGGTCAGAAAATAAAAAAGCTCTATCAACTAAAGAAAAAATTGTACCTTTCTTTTGTGCATTTGAATGGAAATTTAAAAATCTTCCTAAAAAAGTAGATTTACGAAATCAATCAAAAACAAATCAATTATTATTAATAAATATTGTAGTATCCAAAAAATCTAATTTTTCTAATAGTAATTTCTAATTTTTTTAATAGTAAATTGAAGACATGGATGAAATGAACTAAAACGTTGTAGAAGAATATCAATTTTTGAGGAAGAAACTACAGTACAAATTTCATCTACATATCTATGATAAAATAGAATGTCTATCTTCAAAATGCAACATATGCAGCTGTAGCAGATTGTGGCTTGAATGTTTTAATGTTTTAAAAACTATTAAGTAATTTTTCTATTTCCTTATGAAATATAAAAACTATTTTTAATTCTACCTTTAATTTTTTCATAAATTCTTGTACGGATTCTGGTGGTCCACATACGATGCTGCTATTTTTGCTGTTGTAGCATACAATTTCAATATCCAATGGACATATATTTTTAAGATGCTCGTAACTTAAACTGATAACCGCCATTGAGCTATGAATTATTCTTTCTTTGGCACACGTTATACCGATAAAGTATGCTGATAAAATAGTTTGTTCTATGGTCAGACATTTATCTGCGTATGCACATCCAAGTTCACCGCCTGAATGACCAATCATATAATCAGGAGTAATTCCTAAGGATGTTAAGAGATCTACTAATCCAATCTACAAGTATATATGAATAATTTTAAATATATATAGATGGATGATATACTTAAAAAATTTGTTATTGATAAAATAATAAAATGCAGATTTAATCGATTTAATAGACAATCTATTTCTAATACTGTATGACATTTTAAAAAATGTATATTTGTAGATGTTTTATCAATAAATATATTATGATGTGTATTTATGTGTAATTATGAAAAGTAGTAAATTTTTTACCTGAATAGCAACGATTCCAAGATAAACATTTAACGTGTTTTCGCATATTGATTTATCCGCTTTTGTTAAAATATCTGTGACACTTATATCATACGGTTTTAAAATATCATCACATTTTCTTATTGTTTTTGCAAAAGTATGAAACTTTAATAAGTTTTGACCTAATAAAATTTTAGTTTATAAGTTACATCATTTTGTTATTTAAGTTAGTAATATTATATTATTAATAAAATATGAAATACTGAGTATGTACCCATTCCTGGCCATTGAGAACCCAAGGCTGAAAATATAAACCAAACAGGTCTCTTCACGTCTTCACAATTTTGAATTTCCTTTATTGAATCTTGTTGGAAAGAATTCAATATAATGTATCCTCTCCATGGATGATTTTTTATATTGTCTGCATAGATATCGTGTAATAAGCGAATATATTCTACATCTATTGGATGGTTAGCAATCTATAATAATAAATATTTTTATGTTAAAACATAATATCTGTAATTGTTCAAAATAGTATTGAAATATTTATGAAAAATCTACACTAACATCATTTAAAAACAATTTCACTGATTCTTCAGTGCGTCCAGATAATACAACAAGTCTAGGTAAATCATCATTTGGTGCTCCATTATTTATTTTCAGTTTATCATTCCATTTTAATAACACGTGAGCATTGGATCCCCCAAAACCGAAATTATTAATTCCTACGTAACCATTTTGAAGTTGCATTGGTTTTTCGATGACACGAACTGTTCCGTTTATCAAGGCATCTATATCATTCCTTGGCGTTGTATAATTGATATTCGGTGGAACAAAACCGGTTTCAAATGCTATTATTACCTTTAATAAATAATAACAATTTTGAGATATAAATTTGAATTAATAATTTGTCAAATATTGACTTATATGCTCTTATATGTATATTATTACTCGTATTCATAGTCCTTCCTTGAGGAATGAGGATTTCTTGTTTCTCATTTCACGTTTTATAAACTTTCCTTGATCAAGTAAGGAGTCTTATTAGCATAATGTAAGAATACAAGATGTACCATTGCGCATAATGGCGATAGCGCATATTGAAAACAACTAATCAAATTTTGGCTTCTATGCATTCCGTATGATAGCGCTGATATATTGAAATAGCCAATCAAACTTTGGCCTCAAATTTACTTTCCTACTATGTATTTTCGAGAATGCTACCTTATATTTTTACATCATACTTATTAGTTGCCTTTTTTTAAGGAAGGTTATGAGTTACCTTGAGAAAGAGATGCAACCTTCATAATCAATCCTCCAAATTTAGTTACATTGATTTTTTTTATTTTCGGTGGCTTTTAATTTAGATCTGTCACATCGTTGTTTTTATTTTCGATATTACTTCATAGCTTTTTTTTTCGGAAATAAGCATCAAAAGCATTTTCTTCTTTTCCATATAGTGAGCATTATAGCGAATTTGATTGCAAGCATTAGTGCGCACTAATGCATATTAAAGCCGTTGTACATTGAATTTGAATATAAAAATGAAATACAAGTTTATTTCGTTAAACAATGTCGTGGCTTATTTCGAGCTTATAATTAGAATAACTTTAAATTAATATAATTAACATAAGAATATAAATACTAAATAATATTCTACACAAATATTTCGGCTTACAAAGTTTTCTTTAGTGTTAAAACGTAGAAATACAATATTAAAACATAGAAATATAATATTAAATTAACAAACCAACAAATTAACAAACCAACAAATTAATAAATAACAAATACATGAAAATTAAAAAAAACCATTAATGTGCCAGTATATAAAGAATTCAAACGTCAAAAGTATTATGACAGATTGCAATAAGATAAGAAGATTAAATATTTCAGTCAACAATAGATTACATTATGTTTCTCGATAAAATAGTTTTGCCAAATTCCTCGGTTGAAATCGAGAATCCAGTTTGTCGCAGACTTATATCAAACAATTTGAGAATTCATTACGAGTATTTTATGATATTCTGTATATATACAGAACGAATAAATGTATTAAAATAATACATTATTAGTATGAATAAGAGGTACAGAATCAGATAACTTACATTAATTTATATAAAATACTGTAATTAAAACTCTCAATCAGAGATCTGGTCAAGTACATTAAAAATTAGCTGACTTGACTGTTACTCATTGATTTGAAAACTGATGTAATATGTAGGTCAAATAAAAGTAAGACAATAAAATCGAATGTAATAACTTGTTTTTACATTCTTTAATTCTTGTCTTTTCGTTTGGCTATAAAGTATCACAGTTATTACAATTAACTTGATATAATATATGATGTTATAAATAATAATATTGTCTTTATTGATGACCGATAGATCCAAAAAATTTATAATAATGATCTTTCTCATATTCAATAGTAAATTTGAGTCTATCGTGCTGTTCATTAAATAAATTTAAAATTTGAGTGACCTTATCTTTAGATGCAATTATAAAGACATCATCAACATAAAGTAAGTAGAAACTCGAAATTCTAAAGAATTTAACACACTCTCTTCTAAATCCTTCATCACAATATCAACTGAATTCTCAATTTCAATCTATTTTATCGAGGGACAATATAATGGGATAATGTAATCTATTGTTGACTATTTAATCTTCTTATCTTATTTTAATCTATCATAATACTTTTTGATGTTTGAATTCTATATATACTGACATTTTACCACTGATATTTTTTAAAATTTTCATTGTATTTATTACTTATTTGATTTGTTAATTTAATATGTAATTTAATATGTTAATTTAGTATGTATTTCTACATTTAACATTGAAAAAAGCTTTGTAAGAATTTTTGTGTAGAATATTTAGTATTTATATTCTTATGTTAATTATATTAATTTAAAGTTATTTTAATTATAAGCTCGAAATAAGCCACATTATTTAATTTTTTAAAAAATATATGAGCATTTTTACTCTAAATATTTCGAATTATAAAATGCATATTCTACCTAATAGTATTAATAATAAAATGAATTGAGTATTTCGATTAAATCGAATCAATATGTTTATAAATAAGCATATATTTACCATATATGCTTATTTATAAACATATTGTAAGTTATTACCATATGAGAAAGTCAAAAGACAGTTCCTCCTGTCGAGTGTGTGACTTCGCGACGAGACAGTTACTTAGGAATATGAACGACTTTGAGACCTCGAATCACCAAGTCTCAGCCAGTAGAGTGCCTGACATTTTTTTTCTCGGCCTAGCTCTTAAAATATCTTTACGTTATTTTATGTACAGTGACTTTAATGTGCACCAGTGCGCATCTGAGTGCATCTATCTAATCGAATTTGCTATTAGTTTTATCTTTATCCATTATTGTTCAAAATCATGACTTTATTTAATTAACAACTTTTATATTTTATTCGTAATTCATATTAGAAAGTTTGCATGTTATATATATTATGA